GCCCCAAGCATGTGCTTGGGTGCCTGGTGCCTGGAGCCGGCCCTGAATATAAGGCCCCAAAGAGTTTAATTTTAGATTTACATGATGTGATGAGGGAAGGGAAGAGTGGACAGATTTGAATACAGTATTTGCTGTACAAGAACAGATCTTTCAGCCTAACTCTCTAATTTTCTTTTTAAGACATTTTGTTTTTAAACTTTGTGGGAAGGTGAAACTTCAGCACTCCAAGGAGTTAAGGTCTCCCTCAAGCTGTGCCTGCTTTGGGGATTTTCTGAAATTTCCCCAACATTAGCTTTCTCCACTGGTGCTAGCCATGAGCGCTAGTGTAGAGCGACTGCCAGTGTTCTTACCGTTATGTGATCTAGACCTGCTCTGAGCAAGGACAAAAGCCTTGAGCCTTCTCTACACTAGAAATATAAAACACTACTGATTCCCCATTGCTAGCACTAATAGAGCTGCTTTAGAACTAGATCAACAGTAGGATAATTTTGGAGACTCCTGTGTGGACCTAGCCCTAGTGAGACCTTTAATTCCCCTGGAGTGTTAAAATTCATCCAAAGGTGGTGGTGGTTTAAGTTGTACTGAAATGGTGCATAGGTGTGTGCTGGACCCATTGCACAGGGGTGATTTTCACCCTACATGAAGCAGTATGCACACCTGTAGTGCTCTTTACAAATGCTGATGATAGTAATGTGTGTGGATCTGATCTCATTTATACCAGTATAAAGCAGGAGTAACACCTTTGAAGTCAGTTGAGTTACACCAGTGTAAATGAGATCAAGACTGGGGCCCAGTGGCCTGAGTCCTGTACATTCTGCACACATATGAGTTATCCCACTGATGTCACAAGTCACACTCATACTTAAATGCTTGCAGGATCGGGGCTGCCTGCTAGATAATGAACCCTTTATTCCCACTGATAAGCAATTGCTTGTATGAGTCCTCTGACTGACATCAGTGGGACTACTACTTAGCAAGTAACTGATCACCAGTGGGAGTGAGATTATGATTTTGGTTTTGGGAGGATTATGTTCTTTGTTGTATCAGTGCTTTATGTTATCGATTACATATCTAGGCCTAAAAATAGACGCACTTTAGCATCATGTATTGGAAAACAGAAATTAAGCACTACTATATGGATCTGCTACTGTACTTTAGGTGGAGTGCTGCAAATGGTGAACAGTCTGTTTGCACATGTTTATTGCTCAAGATGGGAGTGTGAACAGCAGATTAGGAGATGATATGTGACGTGTTCTTTCCTTACTCTAAAAGTACAAGGTCGTGGAATGAATGCTTTGCCTTACTAGTTGCGCTGCAGGTCTGTTCAGATGTGTTTATCTCTAAGAAAAAAACACATGTAAAACAAAAATATAGAATGACTCAAGTCAACTCCTTGCTCTCTCAGTGTGTATGTGGAGCTCCATTATCCGTGTCAGACCCTAAGGTAGGTCTTTCTAGGACCTTACTTAAATCAGTGTTCTGCTGCTGCTATCAGAGGAGTAGTTTTTAAATGCCAGATCCTCAGCTGGTGCAAACTGACATAGCTCCATTGACTTCAGTGGAGCGAACCTTATTTACACCAGTTAAAGTACTAGCCATTTGCTAGGATCTATAGATTTGTTTGAGATCAATTTTGTTTGTTCTCTACAGAAATTGCAATAGAATTCATAGTTTACCTATTTGCTCTATTTATAATAATAAATTTTGCATTGTCAGTGGAATAATTTAGTGCAGAACGCTACCTGTATTGATTCCCCCCTCTTATTGCAATAATCAAATTAAATATTTAGACTACAAATTCCTTGTAGTACCTAAAATTATTGCACACAATGATATACTCAAAGGACCAACAAAAATTGGCTGCTTAATAATGGTGGCCTTCCAAAAAGGTGGGCAGACATAGATTGTGCGTGTTCTGTGAATATATAAAATTCCAGCAATAGAAAATGGCTGAAATGTCATGGTGCCCTGCTCTAATTGACAACCAAATATTGTATCTTAAGTGCTTTCTTGTTTGCTGAATATGTGTCATTTCTAATCTTTTAATGTTCGCATAAATGTAATATGGCAGGCTGAAATATTTGTTATTTAGAAGCACTGAGAAGATAGTACCTATTTTCTAAATTGTAATGCAAGCTATAATAAAAAAATGGGCTGGAGGAAAGAGAGGAAGGAAGGAAGGAAGTGAAAGCAAACAGCACAAGCTTGTGGTATGTTTGAGTTATTACAACTGAGTCTGCTAGCTCAGCAATGATTCATTATAGCCTGTCTTTTTTAAAGAGCTTTCTAATTCAGCTGTTTGAAATCTCATCAGGCATCCATCCAAGTTGGTTGTCAGCCCAGGGACACTATTTTCCTTCTCTCTCTTTCTCTTTTGGTTCTCAGTCAAAATTGTTCAAGAAGTTAAGTTGTTTCTCTGCTACAGAGCATTATGCCATTTGTAGCAGATTCAGCACTTTTCTGGTTCTTGTGTACTATTAAAGCTGCTTAAAAGAGTTTCTGTGTTGCATTTATCATGACACAAGGGACTGAAATCTCTGTTACAATCCATTGGCTCCGCCATGGGTCAAAGATGGTTTCATTGAAGCAGCCTTGGTTGACCACACAAAGACCGTAATATAGGGCCAAGTTATTGCCTTTGGTGTAAAAATCTGTGGAATGGGAAAATATACCTACACAATTCTGTTGAATTGGAGGGCTGCTGTTCTGCCACATGCTTCCCTTACTAAGACACAAAGGCCAAGGGAAAGAAGCTAAGGACACTGAACTGAATCCTGCAGTTCTCTAGAGCTGACATCCCTCTATGCACCTATCAAGCTTCCTTCCCCCCAGTATTGGTGGTGTGGCAGGTGGATGTGCTGGCCTGCAGTTGGTTCTCTCTTTTTGGCTACCTGTATATGCATCTTTTGCTTGTCTTTGGAGGTGTCACAGAGCAGAACTTAATGCCAAAAAACTGCTATGTTAACCCACAAGTGACTTTGCTATGTAAGCTAAGACCACTTCTACTAAGAGAAAAACACACAGACCACATGCCCTACAAATTCTTCCACAGTTCACTACCCCAAATGCATGCAGATTTTGCCCTGTGCTAAGCTGCAGCACAGAGGATGCCTGTGGCTATGTACTGTAGATGAGCAAGCAGCTGAGCAGCCTTTTCTCCTCCATTCAACTCCACATCCCTTTTCTATGCAATTCCCATGGGTTGCTCCCCTACACACTGCCCTGAGGGCCCATCGTGTGCAACATCATTATTTTCAGTGGGTTGATCTTAGCAATTACATTTTATATAGATGTAAATTGTTCTAAATAGATAAATACATTATAAATCAGGCAACACAGTAAGAGTTCAGATTTCCCTTTCAAGCATCCATGCTTTGGCCTTGTGGAAGTGATGAACCAAAGCCCACACTAAGTCACAATGAAACTGTCTGAAATTCACTGTTCATGAAAGTAATTAACAATCTGTACGTATACCACCAGCAGATCTACAACACTTTTGAAAAGGGGGTAAGCATGGCTATCTTCATTTTAGAGACTGAAGCAGTAGATCCTATGACTTGTTCATTGTCACACACTAAGTCCCTTGTAGAGACAGGACTAGAGCTCAGTTCCCCTGATTCCCAGACTCAGTGCTCAGTCGCCGAGTTCATAGCTACCTACCCTTGTTAGCTGCCTGCAGTGTTACCTCTTTTCATTGTGAAAGGAAAATAGAGCAGAATAATACATTTCTGTTAAATGTTTGCATAAAGCTCTTTTAAAAAAGAGAAAACCGTGTATCATATTTTCTGTGCAGACATTATTTTCAGGCTGTTTGTTCAGCAAATTCGGTATTTATGTCAGGATCTGTTGCCACTGGGAAGATAATAATCCAATCATAGTAATGTTGTTAGCAATGCTCATTTGCCTAATTCGTGCTTATGATGATGGGTCATCGTTAGCCATTACATACAGTGTAATGTCTCTGTGGCAAAGTTATGTATTTAATTTGTTCCTGAAGCGTCAGTTTCATTTATTATAATATGGTGTTGTTTATGGGTACTGTAACACTTTTATAGCAAGTTAAACCATATGCCGTATGAAAAACATATTTTAAATTTTTCTGTATCTGAAAATGCTGTGGCTTATTTGACTTGTTCACCTTTAAAAAGGTTGTTATTGATGACCAGTGGAGGATGTCCCCATCCCAGGATGAAGAAAGGATAGATGCACAAAAGTTCACTCCCAGAAGATGGGGCTCTGGAAAAAGATCTCGGCCAAGGCCACTCTCAGACTATGGTCAGTTGGCAATCAGGAGTTTCTCAATACCAGAAGATTCAGTTGCAGTGGAGTCTCAGAAAACAGACTATGTAGATGGTGAAAGTCAGCCTGGATTGGCTTCTGTGGAGTCTACAGCTCAAATCAGTACAGTAGGTCTCCAAAGAGGGCGAAAACAAAGACCCATCTCTGTAATAGGTGGGGTCAGTTTCTATGGGAGCAGCCAGACAGAAGAAATAGAAGATCTGCTGACACAAGTAAGATATAAGATGTGCTCTCTGCAAACTACAAAAGACTCTTCCACCTCCTTGCCTTTATCTTCAAGCTAGAAAATAGAGTGGACATTTCCTTTCCTTTCTTCTCTTTTTCCAAGCTGACATCACATACTTTGTTTCGCTTTCCTTGTCTCTAATTTTTCGTAAAAAAAACCATAACATAAGATCTTGACTTTTGGATAATCTTGCTTGCATTGTAAACTAACCCTCTTTCTTTCTTGGGACGTTATTTCCAGTAGCTGTTTAAAAATGCTTATTTGTTTATAATAAGGTCACATGTATTTTTGATTAGTCTACAACACACAGGATGTAGAATTCAGGTGAGAGGTGCATACAAATAATATTATAAATGCAATAAAGTATTCATAATCCTTTGAAACCAAGCCTCTTAAAAAGCTATGGGTATGAACTGCTTGGTATTAGCGCACGTATAGTTAAATGGATAATCCATTCGAAAACATTGTAGAACAGACCAGGATCTCAGACTGGATGTCTCAGGGATTTGCTAACATGAAATGGAGTCTTTCCATTGACTTTAATGGGCTGTGGCTCAGGTTCAATCTCTTTCACTTAAATATGCTTATGAGCAGCAGCTAAACAAAATTGATATAATCTGACAGCACTTGGGTAGCTTGTGAGAAATTAGTGGTCTCAGTCCAGTTTCTAATTGACAGGTGTTCATACAGGAAAAACATACACTACTTTATTCCTTGGGGAATTCTGCACTAGTGTGCAATGCAGAATTTTGCAGAAATTAACTTTGTGCGGGCAGAATTTTCTTTCCTCCACAAAATGGACTGCAGTGCTGTTAGCGGCCACTAGGGGCTGCTGGATCCAGCAGAGCCCAGCTCGCACATGAAGACACTACAGGGGAGGGGGAGGGGGCTAGTGGGTTCCTGGCAGCTGCAGATCCCAGCATGTCCTGAGGGAAGGAGAGGGCGGTGCACAGGAAACTCCATGCAAGCCTGGGACCGATCATCGGGCAGTTTCTCCCTCTGGGTGCCTGGGCTTCGGGGGAGTGGAAGGGGGCAGAGAAACAGGAACTGGGTTGTAATAGGGGTTTCTTTAACTCTTTACTCCTGGGGGAATTTTTTTCTGTCTGTATTGTTACAGACATACTTGTAGACAGGCATTTTGAAATAAATTACCAAAATAATTGAAACTGGCGTGATTATGTGGTGGTATTTTGACAAATAAAATTTGCAAAATTTTTCAGAATTTTAAAATACTGTGTGCAGAATTTTTTATTTTTTTTGGCACAGAATTTTTTGGTGCAGAATGCCCCCAGGAGTAACTACTTGAACTGGCCCCTTTGTTGGCTGTGCTAAGGGGTCAAGGAATGAATAAATTTGGGAAATGAAAGCACCCCTCTCTCCCCTAGAGGTAGTCTACAGCAGAGTTGAGGCAGTGAAAAGAAGCCTGCTTAGTTGTACATGTTCTACAGATAGTAAGAGAACTTTGGTCTCAAGTCCTATCCACAATGCAGTCTCTCTGTTAACATGTTCTCCACGTAACGAAAAGGTTTGAGAACGCCTAGTTCAAGCATTTGCTAAATTGATTGAACACGGAAAAAAATTATAGCATTTCCTTTAAAAGTACTTTGAAGTTGTTAAAGAGACCTGATTGCTCTTAGTCTTAATTGTCCTCATGAGACTCTACCTCATGCTGGGAAATTCAATGCAGTGTCATTAAAAGCAAGGCCCCCACTGAAAAGAAACAATGATCCCACTCCCTGAATAGGAATGCTAAAACAATGACAGGTTTTTCAGAGTTTCCTGTGAAAACTATTTTTTAACATGGATATTCTTATGTAGTCAGTAATTCTTTCGCTCTGTAGTATAATATAGTTGTCCTTGACTTTTTCCTGATCAAAAACAGCTGGATCCTCCTGCACTCTTTTCCAGCAAAACGGATTGAAATCAATGGAAGTTTTGTCTGTGTACAGACCAATGCTGCAGTCCCTAATAAAACATCTATATTGTTTAATTAGTTAATTAAATACTTAACTTTTTGTGTTCATGTGAGCCATTCGCATTATTATCAAATCTATGCCTTCATGAATTGTAAATAAATATTAGTTGGTTTTCAAGAGGTGCTCTTTAATACTGTTAGGGCTTTAAGTCCAACCTACCTTGATAGGTGTCCCATATTTTTTGAGACTTACCTCAAGGATTTCAGGAATATGTTGTCATTTTTTTTAAAACCAATTGTTGCTACAGTGTGCAACTTATTTAAAAATAACCTCACCTGTTTCCCACTGGAAACAAATCAGTGCTTTCCTCTTGTAGCTTCCATGCATCAGTTAACGAAGAGTCAAAGAACAGAATAGGTTTTTTTAATTGCAGCTTTGCTGCCACAAAGATGGGATTAAATAAATACATTGTTTTTGGAGTTAAGACCAAAAATATGTGACAACTTCCAAGGTAGGTACATTTTAATGACCATAACAAGGGACATTTAGGTCTCAATCCTGCTCCCATTGAAGTTCAATGGCAGTTCTTCTGTTGCCTACAAAGGGATCAGGATCAAGACTTTAATGGTTAAATTATAATTGCCCAGGAATAAATACATTAAAAGTAATTGGCATTGCGGATATTGGGTGTTTGTTATGGAACAATTTGGAGTTGCTTTTCTTGCTTTAGTTCAGTAGTGCAGTTCTGAGATATTGATATACCATAGGAGAAAATAATTAGTAAAGAATGAAATAATAATTAGATCATATTAAAATATATCAAGATATTTTTCAGTCCGGTGTTTGGTAGTTAAATTGCTACTTAAAATGTATGAAAAAGACTTATGATTGAGGAACACATATATCAGAACTATTTCATAAAGAGCTTTTAAAGCCTAATTTTCATGTAGCAGATTTTTTTTTGAAAGTGTTGAACATCAGTGGAATGTGAAAAAAGTGCTGTTAACTCGTTTTGTTTTGTCTGACAACTTCGTGTGGGGGGAGAAAGCTTTCAAGCAATAGTAAATCACTTGTGTCATACCAGTGGGTCGACAAATAGTTCATAGAGAGGCTCTGGTGTTTCTATATGCTTAATTTACAAGCCTAAGAGGAAAAACAATTAAGAGGCTAAGGCCATGTCTACACTAGTGAGCTTACAGCGGCACAGCTGTACCGATGCATCTGCACTGCTGTAAGATCGCTCGTGTAGCCGCTATGCCGACAGGAGAGAGCTCACCTGTCGACATCATAAAACCACCTTCATGAATGGCAGTAGCTATGTTGGTCGGCAGGAGAAGCTAAAAGGTGCCTAATTTGCGTTAATGTAGTCCTGTTTCAAACAGGACTACATTACCGTGATCTAGGTACCTTTTAGTTCATGCTGGCAGGATCTACACAGGGCAGTGACAGTGCAACACTTCAGTTCACACCCCTGTAGTCCAGGGGCCATGCAGACAAGCTCTAAGAAAAAAATCAGGGTTAAGATTCTTTTTTTGGTTTAACTATAAAGTATGTTCCTCAGCAGCAGGACATTTATCTCGAACAACATTCTGGGAAATTAACACACCTGGTTGTATAATTTCTATTATTTTTCTTTTCAGTGTTTCCATTCTGTTACATATTTACAGTTGGCTAACATTACAGTAAACTGTTCTGAGATGTTAGCTACCAGAGCATTTTAGACATGGAATATTATGGAGTGAAGACTGAAAAGCAGAATATACAGTGTCACTAAACGTAACAGAAGGTTATGGAGTTTTTAATATAACCGAGAACCTTAATGCTATAAGATATTTACCATAATATTGTGTATGGAATGTGGTGGTCAATCAATTTAATGACTGCTTGAACTAGGGGTTCTTAGTGTCCATATAGTCAGCTTGAGAGTGTAAGGAAACCCTGTTTCATACCTGTAGCTGTCTTTGGCTTACTAGTAGCTTTTACTACTAATAATAATGGATTTTCTTTTTTCTTTCTGTAGCCAATAACACGGCCTCCTGTTCCAGCCCACCAAGTTCCCCCATATAAAGCTGTTTCAGCCAGGTTCCGGCCCTTCACCTTTTCACAAAGCACCCCCATTGGCCTGGATCGAGTGGGACGGAGGCGGCAAATGAGAGCATCTAATGGTAAGTTTTACAGGTCTTTTTAAGGGGTTACAAACCAAATGTGTTACGAGAATGGGCCAATTCATCAGTGCCTTGGATGGTGGGTGTAAACTACACATAGGATGTAAATTGATGCAAATGGTAAAGTAGCTTATGATGAAGCTGCTTTATTTTATACCTTCCTGTTAGTGCTTGTCCTGCTATGCTCAAGTTACACTTGTGTTGCACACCCACTGAATGGTAAATTGATTCAAGTTGCTCCCCTTTACTGCTTGTACTCATATTTCAATCCATGTACTCCCTACTGCTCACTGAAGGCTTGTGGAAAGGTAGGCTGCATTAACTAAGGGCTTGTCTACACGGGCACTTGACAGCGCTGCAACTTTCTCGCTCAGGGGTGTGAAAAAACACCCCCCAGAGTGCTGCAAGTTTCAGCGCTGTAAAGTGCCAGTGTAGACAGTGCACCAGCTCTGGGAGCTATTCCTCTCGTGGAGGTCACTATGCCACGACTACACGGCCACGTTAAAGCGCTGCCACGTAGCTAGCGAAGACGTGCCCTTAAGGTATAAGTTTAAAGCCCATTAAAGCACACTAAGCCTTTGTGTGGAGGCTCTCATTCAGAAGTCAAGTGGCAACTGCTGAAAGAGAGTGTTCAGAGAGGGATTTAATGAACTTTAACTAAGCACTTTAAATTCATACCTTTAGTTAATTCAGATTAATTTCCAATGTAGAAAAACCCTAAATCACCAAAGGATTTGTCCCAGAGATTTGTATGGGAGTTGCACCTGCTTACTACAAGAATGAATGTAGCCCATGACATTTATCCAGTTTTATGTAAAGTACAAATCCTTAGAAAGGACTGTAAAATCAAATGCCTTTTTGAAGCAGTGTCTTTTAATGTCCTTTTGATTTGCACCTTACATTTATTCTCCAGTTCTGCTTATCATTAGCACTTACTTGCCACATTATCTCAAGCTGATAGCAAGAACAATAGTATCGTCTCATAAATCATTAATTGGCAGGAGATGTTAAAAAGGAGCTTGGTCAATACCATCTGTCTTTTTTCAGATACTAGAGAACAATTTTACTCATTTTTCATTATCAAGGGCCTAAAAAGTCAAAGTGCATTCTTCACTTCAGGCCCCTTCACTTCAGTATTCTAAAGAATAGCTGCTGTAAAGCCACTTACAAATCTTCACTGTACTGCTCCATATATACATGGAGTAAGTAGTGTTGAAATCAGGATCTACTGTGACTGAAGTGGAAGATCTTATCAAATAGCACTTTCAGTGTTTCTTTTTTTTAAAAATTAAGATCATTAATCAAATAATTTTTCAGGAGCCTGTATTTGTTGCAGATTCATACCAGTTCCAAGTCGAATTGTTAACTAGATCATGCAACTTTATCTAAATTCCAGGGAAGGAAGACCCTTAATCCACAAATACATTATTTTAGCTATCAGGGTATTTACATACTGCATGCTAAAATCCACAGAAGACAATCACTGAGATGGAAAAGTAATATTAGGTAAGTATTCAAGGTACCTTTAGCCTCTTCTAATGTAATTTCACAGCTAGAAATGGGACCAGCCAGTTCTCCGATCACTAGCAGGTGCTCCATGGACCACAATTTGGGAATTACTGGCTGTAGTATTGAGATTGTGTGTGTGTGTGTGTATATATATTACAATATTGGAGACAGTTCTAAGTGTAGAAGAATTTATAGTCCAGTTGAAATGATTAAGTAGTACCTCTCTCCATGAGTAATCCCATTGATTCCAGTAGGACTTCTCACTGAGTAAGGAACTAATCCATCATGAGTTAGGATGAAGAAATCAGGCTTTTAAATATCACAAAGTGGGGATTTTTTTTTTAAAGTTATGCTTTCTGTTTCATCTTTGGAAAAATAGCATTGGCTAACAAATACAGCTACCTCAGATTAATTTCTTCTTTGTTATTTTAGCTTTAGTATATCCAAGGTTTCATAAATATAAATGTTTGAGGATAACAGATTATGAAAGTAAGGATTTCTGTCATTTGGGAAAGGAGTGAAATCAAAGCAATGCTGGTCATACCTAGATATTACGTTAGCAAACTAGTTATTATAACTACAAAAGTCATACGTGAATAGCTTTCTAAATCAAAGCCCTGATGGCAAGTGGGTGGAATATTAGGAGACAGCAAGAGCAATATATCTATTTTTTCTTAGTTACAGGAAAGTTTTATTTTGTGTTACCTAATATGAAATTATAGATATAGTCAGGGGTGAAAGTAAAAATAAATGCTTACCAGTACGAGGGCGGCTCTGGCCCACAGAAGGGGCAGGGCCTCGGGCGGAAGGGATGCAGGGCTGGGGGCTCCGCCTCCCCCAGCCAGCCCATCCGCGCTGCCTGGCCCCCGCCACCTGGGGCTCTGGCAGCAATTTAAAAGGCCCCGGGGCTCCGGCTGCTGCTGCGGTAGCAGTGGCGGTGGCCAAGAGCCCCGGACCCTTTTAAATCGCCAGCCCTGGGGCAGCTGCCTTTTCACCCCCCTCCCGTCAGCGGCCGGGAGGGGGAAAAGGGCAATGACGTTAAAGTGCGGCGGCAGCGCTTTAACATCGTTGCCCCTTTTGCCTCCCCTGTCGGTGGCCCTGCCAGTACGGGGTCCCTACGGACGGTGGGGAAGGGGCAGGGACGTTAAAGCACTGCTGTGTACGGGCCAGTACCGGCTTCTTACCAGTACGCCGTACCGGCTCACTTTCACCCCTGGGCATAGTGTACACCCACTAAAAGCTGTTTTTTGGGTCTCTGATATGCAAGTGGCACAAGTAGAGATGATGTTCTTGTTAGGGGTAGCAGGAACATGTTTGGTGGGAATTTAGATTCAATATTCAGAATTTCCCAACAGACTTGACTCTTGTTTGATTTGGAGTTACAGTTCATGCTAGCTGGACATGAGAGGATTTAAATGACAACTCTCCCTCACCCACAGCCAATCAGAGTTTCATGGTGGGGTCGGCTACTGTGCAGGAAAAAGATGGAAAGTAAAGGAAAATAAGGTTCTGTCGGGGCCATACCACAAATATTGGGAAATGATCTGGCAGTGGTTGCAGAGAGTTTTTAAGTAGTTCCAATGAATAATGGAAGGTCACATAGTTAATTTGCCATTTTTTTTTTTTTTTTTTTTTACATATTCTGATCTTTTCCCTTTTCCAGCTTCAGGGTCCGGGAACCCACCTTGGGAGGGTCTTGGCTCCAGGGTGAGGAAAAGGTCCTGGCTGCTGGGGAGAACGGATTCTCCGCTTGCCTGCTGCGCATTCTTCTCCTCCTCCTCCTCTTCCTCATTCACAAAATCCTCCTCCCTGTTGCGTGAGACTCCCCCCTTGCAGGTGTCCACAGACAGTGGTGGGATAGTGGTAGGGTCCGTCCCCCCAGAATGCCATGCAGCTGATCATAGAAGCGGCATGTATGGGGCTTTGACCCAGAGTGACCGTTTGCCTCCTTTGTCTTTTGGTAGGCTTGCCTGAGCTCCTTAACTTTCATGCGGCACTGCTGTGTGTCCCTGTTGTAGCCTCTCTCCACCATGGCCTGTGCGATTTTGGCATATATATTAGCATTTCCTCTTTTTGATCGGAGTTCTGCCTGCACAGATTCTTCTCCCCATACAGCAATCAGATCCAGTGTCTCCCATTCACTCCATGCTGGAGCTTGTTCGCGAATCTGGGACTGCATGGTCACCTGTGCTGCTGAGCTCACCACGCTGACCAAACAGGAAATGAAATTCAAAGTTCCTGGGGCTTTTCCTGTGTACCTGGCTAGTGCATCGGAGTTCAAAGTGCTGTCCAGAGCGATCACATTGGAGCACTCTGGAATAGCTCCCGGAGGCCAATACCGTCGAATTTCATTGGCACTACCCCAAATTCGACCCAGCAAGGTCGATTTTAGCACTACTCCCCTCGCCTGGGAGGAGTACAGCAGTTGATTTTAAGAGCCCTTTAGGTTGACGGAACAGTCTTGGGTGTTTAGATGCATTGCTTATAAAATTGACCTAACGCAGCTAAATTTGACCTAACCTCGTAGTGTAGACCAGGGCTCTGAAGCAGACTTGAGGACAATGAGAAATCCTACCTTGGAAAAACCTGATTCTAAGACCCAAAGCCTGAGATTAGGTTTTTATTTTTATATTGAAGCAACAACTTCTGAGCAGTATTGATGTTTCTTCTTTCTTCCTAGGAAAGAAGGAACTGTGTAAACTGTACAGTTGTTACAACTTGAAAAGAGGTGGAATGTGGCTGGATCTATGTTCAGCATGTTCATATACATGGCCTAGAACCCTGCAAGCCCTGCTGAGGTGCTGGTGCAGAGTTGTGTTCTTATTGTGAGGGATGCCTCATTTTGGCCTCTCTTTTTTTTGTGTCTGCATTTATTTATGGATGCAGTTGATGTCATTTAGATTTCTGCATGTCTGATTGTGTCCTCAGTTATTTGTGCTTCCTCAGTCCCTTCCTTCTCCCCTTCCCCCAATCCTCTTGTGCAACAAGCAACTGGCCCACAATAACTCGTGATATTTTGGCTGCCTTGCTTAGCATGGGGCTAGGACCACAAGGACATACAGAACTTTTTGGGGCAAATGCTGGTCACATTGAAATCAATGAGAGTTCACTATTGACTTCACACAGGCCAAGGCCAGGTGATATTAGACAGCTACCATAATTAACAAACAGATATTTGTTGGTCCCTTGAGTCGCTACTGAAAGGAGTTTTCAATGTAGTGAGATCTAGCCATCTTAACTTAATTTTTTTGTCCATATTTTATGCTATTCCTTTTTCACCTGCCTACTCACATTCTCAGAGGTGTGATAGAGTAATTCAAAGGGGTGAACCTGTTTTATGTTATAGTTTTAGGATTTTGTCTGGACAGCACTTGTTCAGTGTGAATTCTTCAGTCGTTGTTGCAGATCCCAGGGTTGGGGGCTTTTTATGACTTAAGCAAAGGAATTTTCTATGGATGACTCATTTTTTAGTTGTTTACTGATTTGTATTG